AGAGAGAGAGAGAGGAGAGAGTGAGAGAGAGTGAGAAGAGAGAGAGAAGAGAGAATATTTATAATCATACATAGAAGAAATAACGGAATAATGATTGATACGCGGGCGAGCGAGAGTATTTTCCAAAAATCGACCGAGAATCGATCGAGAATCGTGCACAAAAAAAAGAAAAAAAAAAAGAAAAAAAAGGAAAAAAAAAGAAAAACACGAAGACGACCATCATACACATCCACGATGTACGAAATCGCGTATCGTGTACACGCGTATATCCTCACGATTTTTTTCGCGCGTCGTGAAGAAAAAAAGAGAAATTCGTCGCGGAAATTTTGCCGAACGATCGAACGCAAGATCGAGAACGATTCTAAAAATATAATTACGTAGTAATACCGAACATTGACTTCTCGTTGATCTTGGACGACCGTTCGAGCATAACCCTCGTCGCGTTACAAGTTCGGGACACGCGTAATTGCTCAAAACGAAGAAAAGCTCCTCGATCGGCGTGCACGGAATTTTTTTTCATTTCGTAACCAATCTTGTTTCTCGTATACACACACACATATATATATACAAATACAAAAAAGACGTAGATCTTGCATTGATCTTGTTTCTCATTGTTTGATCGATAATCGGGGGCGAATATGCATATATGGGGGAAGAAGAAAAAAAAATGTTCCTATCGAGAGCGCAAAGTATTTTCTAATAGAACGACCAAGAGGAGGACAGATTTTTTAGATCGCCCGCATCGAAAGGCATCGTGACTCGGTAGTAATGGTCGTCTTCGTGGAGGGGGAAAAAAAAAAAAGAAGCAAAGCCACGGGCGTGCACACGACAAGACCATGTGAGTTCAAATCGCGATGTAACCGAAAACTGCCAACTTCATATTGCAATATACGTTTTAGTCAATCGTGGCGAGATGCACGGGACAAAAAAGAAAAGAGGTACCACAGTCGACGAAACGAAGGAATTAGAGGAAACAAAAGAAAAAAAGAATAATAATAATAAGAAGAAGAAGAAGAAGAGGAAAGAAATCGACTAAGGAATTGGAAAAATTCTATCCGATAAACGGGGATGTTTAAAAAAACTACCGAGATCTATATATATATATATATTTATTTTTTTTTTTTTTTTTTGGTTTCGACGATCGATCGATAGCAGGAGAATACTCGGAGCAACGTGTTTCTCCCATTGTATTTTCGTTGCACCCAGAGATTCGATTTCACGCGACGAACGATCCGCGCGGTTCGCTGCACGCCGCTTCTCGCTGCCTCGCGTCGACGCACGGGACGAAACGCGCGCAAGCTCAACGATTTCGCGAAACACGACGAGCAAAAAAAAAATCTCGATCAAAATCTTCGATCGTATGGCTGATCTGTATCTTTGTCGAGCGGATAAAGAAAAAGGAGAAAAAGAAAAAAAAAAAGAAAGAAAGAAAGAATAACGTGTTCAAACGTGTTTTGTAACCTGTGTATCCGTTCCCCATAGCCCGTTTCTCGAAGAATAGCCGAAGATATATAAAAAAAAAAAAAAAAAAAAGAAAAATAATGAACAATTTGTATCAATCCTGCTCAAAATAAAATTAACACCGCCGGGTTCACGAATATACATACATATATATATATAAACGTGTATATATATATGTATATATATATACACACACTGTTAGGTGCGTGTTTGATTACACACACACACATACACACACAAACGTTGATTGATTTAGCAGCCAACAATCTTTTTAATTTAAGAGAAGGAGGGGGGGGGGGGGAAGTTAGAGAAAGGGAACGCGAAACGGAGTAACTCGTTGCTCAACCCTCGGTTTTAAACCGAAACTCAACGTTATATATACTATACTATATATTATATATACTTGTTTTAATGTCGTTCATAGCACGTTGAAACAGATTTAAAAAGAAGAAGAGAAAAAGAAAAAGAAAAAAAAAAAAAAAAAGTAAGGAACAAACAGCGCGAATTATTAATTGATGAATATTAACAAGACATCAGACTCGAACAACTATTGAATATTTACACTTTAATTTTAGCTTTCCTCCCACGTTGCTTTCGCTAACGTGAAATTATATTAGATTCTTAAGAGTTGCGCGGCCTCGCTTTTTCGCAGCTCGTATTGTTCGAGGTTGTAAATCATTTTTACGATCTAAACGGGTCCCCGCTTTAACGGCGTCGTTAAAGAAAACGGAATAGGTTCTTAGGCAAATTACCTCGCGCACGACATACGTGCGAATACAATATAAATCGAAATCGATAATATTGGAAAAAGTTCGATATCGATTTCTCTATTATTCTCCAACGACTCGCGTTTAGAAAAACCTCGAACAGTATTAGCAGCGGTAAATAGATAGGTTGGGAAGCGAGAACGGTGTATTTCTGTTCTCTGGGTGTGATCAACGAGGAAGCGTGGCTCGCTTCGCGTGTTACGCAAGTTTGCAATTTCATTCGCTGCCAGAATCTTCGACGGGAATTTGGCACGTTCGTAGAATCCGCTTGAAAAATTCGAAACCGGACCTCTCTCCTACCCGCGTTCCATTCCAGCGAGGAAAGACAAACGAGCTGCTCCCTATATGACGTGGGATAATGTATACGTGTGGGAAACGTGTTTCGATTCTTTCGAAAAAGAAACGAGAAGGGACGGCGTATCGAACTCGAGGACCGAGGGAATCGCGCGGAATTGCATATCGGACGACCGAAGGATTGAGAACGAAAGTG